ATTAAAATACAACATTAAAATATCAAAACATTAAAATATTAAAATGTAGCCTCATCGCAGGAAGAGAAGGAAAAGAAAAAAGAATGAGAGGGAGGGAATCAAATTGGCTCCAAGCCAAAGGCCAGGCAGAACAACTCTGTCTTACAGGCCCTGCAGAAAGAAATCAGATCCTGCAGGGCCCTGGTCTCATGAGGCAGAGCGTTCCACCGGGCCGGAGCCAGAGTTGAAAAGGCCCTGTCTCTGGTTGAAGCCAATCTAACTTCCTTAGGGCCTGGGACCACAAGGGTGTTGCTATTTATGGACCTTAAGGTCCTCCGTGGGGCATACCGGGAGAGGCGGTCCCGTAGGTATGAGGGCCCTAGGCCGTGAAGGGCTTTAAAGGTCAAAAGCAGCACCTTAAATCTGACCCTGTACTCCACCAGGAGCCAGTGCAGCTTGAAAAGCACTGGATGAGTATGTTGTAGTCCAACACCTGGAGGCACTAGGATGAGGGACGAACTAGGGCTGGCCTAAGAGGCAGAGGACAAACAGCTGATTGGACTGTCAGTTGAATCTTAATGGGAAACAGGATGCAGCCCCTGAGATACTCTGACAGGTGGGCTGAGCCGGATTGTTCTTTTGCAAGTGTAGTTGCATGCCTAGGTTCCCTTACGCTAGGCCAGGAAAATGCTGAAAGCACTACAGAAGACTAGGCATTCTATTTGGACTAACTCTCATATATGGCTTTGTGCATCTGTAAAAAAAACAAAAAACCCTAAGCAAAAAAAGAAGTTATTTCTCACTGCTAACTGCGACTTCTATATCAGTGTGAATGACAAAGATAAAACGTTTTATACCTTCCATTTGTCTCTTATCTTCACAGCTATTGTACTAGGAACATCTTTACTGGTTCTTTAATGTGAGAAGTGAAACATAAATGGATTAGAATGCAGCTCCTGCTCCTGGATCTTATTCATTTAAATTATTTTGTCCCAGATGAAACAAGAAGGATAATTGTGCTAGGAGTACAGGAATACAACTAATCAGTTACATCAGAGAGAATCTTACCATCAAGATAGGTGTCAGAACAAGCCAAAAAGCAAAAACAAAAGGTGTTAGGGAAGGTATTATTACTAACAGCAGTATATGAGAATCTCCCTCTGAGGCAGCACCCAGCCTGCCTAGGGAGAGGCCAGAAGCAGCACAGCCTGCAATATTGCAAAGGAAGGGCTTTAGCTCAGTACCTGCTTTCAAGGACCTTCTGCCTAAGATGATGGGAAGCCACTGCCAGTCATGAGTAGACAACAAAGTAAGGCTATTGGGATTAATGTTTGGACACAGCACAAGGCATTATAACAGGAATGCAGAAACACAGAAAACGGCCTTCTGTCTCCATAAGGCATCTCTATCAGACCTTTCCAGCTCAGTATCGTCTACACTGCCTGGAAGTGGTTCTCCAGGGTTTCAGATGCAAGTCTTTAGAAGCCATACCTGGAGATGGCTAGAGACTGTGTGGAGGTAACGCTCTGCTTTGCGAAGGCAAACCTCGCACCAGACATGCAACAGTACGTCAAGGAGCGTTGTGCCTGCTCTCCCTGACCTTTTGCCTTCTTGGCTAGAAAACAGGGTTTTGCCCCTGACCGTTTGTCCTCTCGCAGATTTGTTTACTAGACATAATGCTTGGCTGGAATATGACCGGGGATGCAGACGTAATCAAGTATTGGGGAACATTTTAGGGAAACACCTGCTGACATGTGTATCTGCTAATGCTAGAAATGTGCTTAGATGGAAATACGTCATGTTCAGAGTGGTTTCACTACAGTGGTACCTCAGGTTACATACGCTTCAGGTTACATACGCTTCAGGTTACAGACTCCGCTAACCCAGAAATAGTGCTTCAGGTTAAGAACTTTGCTTCAGGATGAGAACAGAAATCGTGCTCCAGCGGCGCAGCAGCAGCAGGAGGCCCCATTAGCTAAAGTGGTGCTTCAGGTTAAGAACAGTTTCAGGTTAAGAGCAGACCTCCAGAACGAATTAAGTACTTACCTGAGGTACCACTGTACTGTTTCCAATTGTTGACTTCTGCTAATAAAAGGAGCCTTGACAGAGCTAGCTGGCAGCTTGCTTGGAGCATGCTTGTCAGCTTGCTCCTGAACAGCTCACCTGCATCCAACCTCCCATCGTCCTCGTTATTCCTACAGACTGAACTTGGGGTACTCTGCATGCCACAGCATTTTACCTCTGGTTAGGGAAGACTAAAGGACTGGCTAGACAATAATGAAATCAAATGTATTCCATGTATATGCTTTTCTCTCTCAATTGTAGCCATGGTGGGAAGGGGCATGTAATCAGGATCAGAGTCATGATACACAGAGAGGGATGTATTCTAACCATTTCTCCACACAATGTCGACTCAATGGAAATTACCCCACCCCCTTCTTAAGCCTAGGAGTAAAGCTGTCATTTGGGGCAATCTCTTCCATGGAAACAGCAACTCAGGGTGTGCCTGGATGTGACTTTTATAGCACCTGCACAGTTGGGGATATGGGTTTAATCCCTTCTTTATGCACGGCCCCAATCCTTATTACCCCTGGCAAGGCAAAATGGAGGCACTGTCCAGTTGCTGTATTGGACCAAATATAAGCCTCACTCCCCCCCCCCCCAATTCTGATTGTGAAAAGTTAAATTGTGGCTTATATTCGTGACCTTACGGTATCGCTGATGAAACAGCTGCCCAGGAGGGCCATTTGGGGTGCGGGACCATGGTGCACCACCCGCCCGTGACTCCCAAGCCTCCCCCGAGCTGTCAAGGAAGGGGGGAGGCTGTCGGTAAAGTGGTGTGGCTCCCCCCCTGGAAGCAGCCTAGGAGTGCAGGCAATGGCGTACCACCCGTGTTACTCCCAAGTCTCCCCTGAGCTGTCAAAACGAAGGGGGAAGGGGGGGAGGCCACCAGCAAAGCCCCCATTCAGGACGGTAGAGGTGGGAGGTGGACAGCACCCGCAAATAAGCCTTGACTTTTAAAGGTGCAGCTTATATTCAGGCCAATACAGTATTTAGTTTCAGTCTTTCTACAGTGCTTTTATCCGAAACAACTGAAATAATGTGTACAGTGGTACCTCGGGTTACAGATGCTTCAGGTTACGGACTCCGCTAACTCAGAAGTAGTACCTCGGGTTAAGAACTTTACTTCAGGATGAGAACAGAAATCATGCAGCAGCGGCACGGTGGCAGTGGGAGGCCCCATTAGCTAAAGTGGTGCTTCAGGTTAAGAACAGTTTCAGGTTAAGAACGGACCTCCAGAACGAATTAAGTTCTTAACCTGAGGTACCACTGTACTATGTTTTGGCCCTGATTTCTTCTAGTATTGCTCTAAGGGGTGTGTGTGTGTGTGTGTGTGTGTGTGTTAATTTGAAATCATGCCTCTTTGTCTTCATCATTGCCACTATCCATTGATCACTGCTTCATACTGCTCTACTATACAGTTACTTCTGTGTAATGATAACCTGCAATTCACATCCAGCTAATCATGTACAATAGCTATGCTGGAGTGTATTTTGTGGTATGGAAATGGGGTCATGGGCGGTGGTGATCTACGTGTGCAGATTGTACTGTAGGTTTCCTGCTTCCATGGAAGTGCATTCCATGTAAGGAAGTGCAATGTGTGAAGCTACTCTCAGAGAGAGGGAGAGGGAATTTGTGTTTCCAAGTCAGCTGGCCCAGAGTCTTCCAGCTCTGAAAACTTCCCTGGGGGGTGGTGCAGCCAATATCAGCTGCTCTGTATTTGCAGGAAATATTTTTCTCTTTAATCTCTGCATAACAGACTTTCTCACCTATGCATCCCCTGACGGAAAAGCAACGCAGCCGCAGCCGCTACTCGCTGACATTTCCAACGGTTAACTCGTAATAACTCAGTAACAGCAGGGGGGGAAATGTACAGAAACACCTATGCTTCTTAGTGAGGAAAATGGCATAAAATGACTAATGTTTCCACTTCTTATATTAAACATTTTTTCCTACTATGGGAATCCAATCCAGATTACAGTTTCCTGTATAGCCAGTGGGGTGTTGTGGATAGAGTCTAATCCCCACTCAGCCATGAAGCTCAGGGGGCAAACTTGGACCAGTCACCATCTCTCAGCTCAACTGACCTCACTGGGTTGTTGTGAGGATAAAATGAGGACAGAAAGAACCATGTACACCATCTTGACCACTTTGGGAATATATAAATGTAATACGTATGTAAATATGAGAGTGCCTTTTATCAAATGTAGCAGTGATGGCTCTACAGGCATCACAAACTACTCCATAAAGTAGCAGTCAATGTTTGTAAAATGCTCCACCTGCCTCCTCCACCTTCTAGTAAGGTAAAGGTAAAGGGACCCCTGACAATTAAGTCTGGTCGCGAGTGACTCTGGGGTTGCAGCGCTGATCTCGCTTTACAGGCCGAAGGAGCCTGTGTTTGTCTGCTTCCGCAGACGGTTTTTCCGGGTCATGTGGCCAGCATGAATAACCCGCTTCTGGGGAAACCAGAGCAGCACATGGAAATGCAGTTTACCTTCCCACCGGAGTGGTACCTATTTATCTACTTGCACTTTTTGGGCGTGCTTTCGAACTGCTAGGTTGGCAGGAGCAGGGACTGAGCAACGGGAGCTCACCCCGTCGAGGGGATTCAAACAGCCGACCTTTCGATCAGCAAGCCCAGGCGGCACAGTGGTTTAACCCACAGCACCACCCGCGTCTTCCCCAGCTTCTAGTAGTGCTAAACAAATTCGAAAAGGTGTTATCAGAGTGTCCAATTGCTAACATTATAGTAAAATTAAGATTTTTCTGGCTAGAAGTTACAACACGCCACAATCACAGGAAGTATGTGACATTTGGACCTTGTGGTGTTAGTGATTTTCTTTCTGAAGAACTCACAGAAACAAATTTGCAATGTCAGACAAGGGCATTAGTCATCTGTTGTCTTCTCAGGGGCATATATATCTTTTCCTTTACTCGTTTATTTTTATTTTCCTCCTTTTCTGTAGAAATTCCTTCCCCTGCTGCAGAATAACAGATGCCAGGAACGTCACTTTGAATCTAGGTTAATTTGCTAGGAGATTACTTGCTACAATTAAGCATTTTTTCTTTGGCCAGAAAGTTTTTACCATTTACCATCAAGCCAAATTGCACTGACATGTCTCTGCCACAAGCTTGTAGGAAATATTCCTAGATTTACCCTAGGTAACGCTGAAAGGACAATTTAGTTCACAGTTCTGAAGGGAGTCTGCAAAATTAAAACAGATGGGGGGAGTTATTTTGGGTTTGCTTTTGATACCCATGAGAAAATTCCCAGACTTTGCAGGAAGTCTGTATTACACGATCAGAGATGTGACTCCTTTTAACCAGGTTTGAGATGCTCTGAATAACTTTGAATGTTCCTTGAAGCCATGTGTAATTGAAAGCAAAGGTTTGCTTGTAATTCCTTTAAAAAACAATAAGCAAGAAAAGGCAGAGGTAAAAAGAGGAAGTGAGGTAATTAAGGCTGCAATCTTATACACTTAACTGGGTGTAATTTCCATTGAAGTCAGTGGGGCTTCTGGGGAGGCAGGTAAAGGATATGCTTTTGCTGTATTAACATAGTGTCACAAATGTGCTAGTTACTTTATAGAACATAAATGTGGCATGGCCCAGAGGACTTGTGTTCCACATTAAATAGACAAATCAGGAAAGGGGGAAGCTGCCTTATACTGAGTCAGACCACTGGTCAATTTAGCTCAGTATTTTCTACGCTGACTGACAGGACCTTTCCAGAACTTCTGACAGGAGTCTCTTCCGGCCATACTTGGAGCTGCTAGGGACTGAACTTGGGCCCTTCTGCATGCAATTTCTACTACTGAAATAAGACCAAAAGATAAATATTATCATTGACCTTAGCTCATTTAACATATGTGAAAGTGAAACAGATGATGGAACCAACACACTCCTTACAGAGTATTGAGCTCTGGAGCACAACATATTACTTGAACATTCATATATATACCGTGGTACCTCAGGTTACATACGCTTCAGGTTACACACTGCACTAACCCAGAAATAGTACTTCAGGTTAAGAACTTTGCATCAGGATAAGAACAGAAATCGTGCTCCGGTGGCACGGCGGCAACAGGAGGCCCCGTTAGCTAAAGTGGTGCTTCAGGTTAAGAACAGTTTCAGGTTAAGTACGGACCTCCGGAACGAATTAAGTACTTAACCTGAGGTACCACTGTGTGTGTGTGTATGTATATATATATATATACACACACACACACACACACACAGTGTCATACCTTGGGCCTCTGGTTGAATGCGCTTCAGGTTGAGTGCAATCGAGTTGCGCTCCGCGGCAACCCGGAAGTAACGGAGTGCGTTACTTCCGGGTTTCGCCGCTTGCGCAGACACTCAAAATGACGTCACGCGCATGCGCAGAAGTGGCGAAAAGCGACGTGTGCGTGCGCAGATGTGCTGTCCCTAGTTATGTTTGCTTCTAGATGGGAACGGGGCTCGGAATGGATCCTGTTCTTATCTAGAGGTACCACTGTATATGTATATATGTGTGTGCATGTGTGTGTGCGCGCGCCACTGGAAAAAGTATAGCTAGCAACATATAACAACATGATGATATTAGCAGATTTATTTTCAAATCTTTGCCTGACAATTCATTACTTGAAATCTCCCCCCCCCCATTGCCCTTAACCTTCCTTGCAAGGGGGAGGAGGGAAATTGACATTAGGGAAGTCTGGGGACATTAGTAACTTAAATGCCAGGCATGGTTGTCTTTTTACATTTAATGATGTGTTTTTGGCAAATGCTGTAAATAAAATCTAATGCTCTGACCTTAAACAAGCTTCAGTGCTTCCCAGGTAAGTTTGCTTAGTTTCAAGATCTACATCTAGCTGATTAAGTTAATATATATGAGCCTTAGTTTACATAAACTGCCTTTAGCATATGGATTGTTTATAATTATGTCTGGTAACAGCATTTAAGCTGCTGCGATTAAAAATGTAAGCTTGTTTTATAGCTACTGAAATTTATTTCTTTTAATGGTGCTTGTGTTTAGATCCTTTTTTAAAAAGGCCTGTCAGAAAATAAAACCAAAGAAAGCAATAAAGTCAGAATGAAACACTCGAGAAAAATTGTGTGCCCCAACTAGAGTCTCTAATTAATTCTATTTGGGCACATTCTAAGGCACAGCAGTTAAGTAAGCTTCAGATGGAATGAGTGTTGCAGAGATTCTCCCCGCCCCCCCAAATAAAAAGGTCAGTATTCACCACATCAGTTGTCACTGTAGGTTTAGGTTGGCTGTGCAAATCAATTTCCTTTTGTCTTTGTACAATCATAATATCCTTTTTTTAACACAGTGATATTAGCACCTTGTTCCAAAGTTCCAGTCTGTTACCCTCACAATCTGACCCGGCTCCCACAAGGCACTTGTCTGGATACAGGTGCAACCAATAGAGAGTGGGAAGAAGGCCATGATCCACATCTTTGTAGGAATGCCTTTGTTTCTTAAGCCCTGCTCAAACACATTTAGATGACTTATCAACGCAAAGCCTGCTCAGATATGCACTGGGTCTGTTCTCCACTTATTGCTCTTGGAAGTTCTTTCTGAAGAACTTAATCTTAAATGCATGAAGCACCTTTTACACGTGCCACATGATTTACAAACATAGTATAAAACAGTGAAAAATAATTTTTAAAACAGTACAAAAAATTAACTTAAGACAGGTGTTTATTTTGTATTGGTTTTTATACTTCAGGCAGAGACCTTTTCATCAAGCTGGAAAAGCTTGTCAAAACCAAGGTGTCTTCAAGTTGTTTCTGAAAAGTGCAGATAGTGGGAGCCTGTCATATATCGACAGGGATGTGGTTCCACAGAACGGGGCAGCTACACTGAAAACCCTGCTCTTGAGTTACTGTGGACCATGCTTCTGATATTTTAAAGTTATTTAATATGCTAGCCATTTAGTTTGTTGTTGTATTTCAATCACCAGGAAGGGGGAGAAGTGTTTTCTGCCTCAGGTGCCAAAATAGCTCGTCTGGCCTTGAGAACTGCATACCTTCAACTGGGGTGAGGGCTTTTGATGCTCTACCTCAGGCAACAAAACGTCCTGGGCCCAGCCCTGTAATTAAAGAATGTGCCTGGAGGAAGGAGTCCCATTAATTTCAATTAGTATAAAAAGCACAGCAAGATGCAGCTGAAAACAATTTGTAAAACTTTATGATCCTGATTTAATGGTTGCTGTTGTTGTTTTTGTTGTTGTTAACTATAAGTCTTTAAAGGCACGGAATGGCATGCCATTTCTACGCCTGTTCAGTAGCTAAGTCTAAGCTAGAACATGCTATTTGGCTCCTGCTGTCCAGAACCGGGTGAGACTGGCTATTATGCAACTACTTTTCCATGTTATTAAGCACATGTTCCCTTTTGAACGGTATATTCAATAACAGATGGTGCCTCAAAGGCTCATTTCAGTGATGAGGCCAAGCCACAGCATCTCTCCACAAGGAGCCAAAGGAATGTACATATGGCAATGCGTCACTCTTTAGGGCAGTGGCACACCTTTTTTCACAGCTGGTGACTGGGATTTGCATGCATAACATCCTATATGAAGCTGCCTTGTATTAAGTCAGATCATTGCCCCAGCCGCTTCCGTAGACTGGCTAGCAGTGGCTCTCTAGGGTAAGTCTTCCCTGGACATTCACGGTAGAATGTAGAATGCTCTACTGCTTGTCCTTGGCTCCATCCCGTAACTGGAAGCACATGAGAGAGGTTTCTGCAGCCCATCAGGGAACACACAAACTGTTGGCAAATAAATTATGAATGTTCATGATAAAAACGAAACAAAACAGAAGGGACGTTAATGCAATATGTCACAGCCTGTTGCAGATCAGGAAACAATGGGCAGAGAAGTCCCTCTGAGGAACTTGTGCTGCATTGCAGACAGGGATCCATGTTATTTGGGCAACAAGGAGGTAAGATCTCCTGCCTAGAAAGTGTCATTGGATAGTTAAGATAGGCTTGGGCACCAATGGTTCCCAACCTTTTTTTGGCCATGCCCCACCCAAGCATCCCTAAAATCCTGACACCCCCAGTGACATACAGCGGTACCTCGGGTTACATATGCTTCAGGTTACAGACGCTTCAGGTTACGGACTCCGCTAACCCAGAAATAGTGCTTCAGGTTAAGAACTTTGTTTCAGGATGAGAACAGAAATCATGCTCCAGCGGCGCGGCAGCAGCAGGAGGCCCCATTAACTAAAGTGGTGCTTCAGGTTAAGAACAGACCTCCAGAACGAATGAAGTTCTTAACCCGAGGTAAAGGTAAGGTAAAGGGACCCCTGACCATTAGGTCCAGTCGCGGACAACTCTGGGGTTGCGGTGCTCATCTCGCTTTACTGGCCGAGGGAGCCGGTGTTTGTCCGCAGACAGCTTCCGGGTCATGTGGCCAGCATGACTAAGCCACTTCTGGTGAACCAGAGCAGCACACGGAAACGCTGTTTACCTTCCCACCAGAGCGGTACCTATTTATCTACTTGCACTTTGACGTGCTTTTGAACTGCTAGCTTGGTAGGAGCTGGGACTGAACAACAGGAGGTCACCCCGTCGCAGGGATTCGAACTACCGACGTTCCGATCGGCAAGCCCTAGGCTCAGTGGTTTAGACCGCAGCGCCACCCACGTCCCACACTGAGAGTTGTTAGGAGATTCCTATTCCATTCACAGAGCTACAGTTACCATATTTCCATGGGAAGGGGGATTGGTTCTTAAACCACTCTGGCAATTGTAGCTTTATGAGAGGATTAGGGGTCTCCTAATAATGTCAGCACGCTTCACAAACTACAGCTCCCAGGATTTTTTTGCCCGGGGGGCGCGGGGGGAGAGTCATAACTGTTAAAGTGGTATAATAGTGCTTTAAATGTTTGGTTTGGATGTGACCCAGACTAGCACCAGTGATGGGACTTTTGATTCTAGCAGGCAGAAGCAACCTTATCCTGCCTTGTCTCCTGGGCTGCCCAGCTTGTTACACAACAAGAGCAAGGGAGATGACAAGTATGTGAAAGGAGGGGCTTCAGTGTGAACATGCCCTGCTGAAATATGGCAGTCCCAATTTAAACTAGGCATGTGGAAGCTACATTAGGCCTTGCAGCTCACCTGTACCACTGTCATACTATTCTTGGTAATATCATTACCCTCAAACAAAAACAAAAACAAACAAAAACATCCCCTAATTGTGAGAAAGGGGGTTTAGCAATTCTGAGCAGGGCTCCCATAGACACTAAGAAGAACTTTCCTTAGTAGTAAATGGTGCTAGTTCCTGTAAGTGGTTACAGGAACCACTCCTCTCTTCATCACGTTGTGAGTTTCCATGCTCCCCTTGGGAGCACCTGAGGGGGCAGGGAATCTCACAGTGCAGCTCACATCATGCAGATTGTGTTGCCAAGGGACACAGTGGAGGCTGCTAAGTTGGGATGCTTGTTGTAAGGATGGGGCTGAAAGGGCCAAATATTTTTTAAAAAAGAGTGCCCAGATTTCAGTTGAGAAAGAAGCTTGATTCTCCAACACTGTACTGTTCCAACATGCCACCTCAACCTTGGAGTGTGCTAAGAGTAATGCACAATTGTCATATGCACTCAGCTAAATTGGTAAAGAAAAAGTGTTGTATATGTGTTGTATATGCATTATAACATTGTGGCACCAAATGGCGCTGTGGAGTTCTCATACAAAGTTTACAACACATTTAACAGAAATGCTTCTTTGGTGTGTCTAGATCCATCGTTCCCAACATGGGGCACATGCCCCACAGTGGGGCAATTTGAGAATGAGTTATTAACAGTGAATGGCCTTTTAGGCTTCCTCCACATGAATAGGAGTTTACTTTTTGAATAATAAGAATTATACAGTGGTACCTCGGGTTAAGAACACGGATGGCGCTGTGGGTTAAACCACAGAGCCTAGGACTTGCCGATCAGAAGGTTGGCGGTTTGAATCCCTGCGATGGCGTGAGCTCCCGTTGCTTGGTCCCTGCTCCTGCCAACCTAGCAGTTCGAAAGCACGTCAAAGTGCAAGTAGATAAATACGTACCGCTCCGGCGGGAAGGTAAACAGCGTTTCCGTGCGCTGCTCTGGTTCGCCAGAAGCAGCTTAGTCATGCTGGCTATATGACCTGGAAGCTGTACGCCGGCTCCCTCAGCCATTAAAGCGAGATGAACGACGCAACCCCAGAGTCGGTCACGACTGGACCTAATGGTCAGGGGTCCTTTTACCTTTACCTCAGGTTAAGAACTTAATTCGTTCTGGAGGTCTGTTCTTAACCTGAAACTGTTCTTAACCTGAAGCACCACTTTAGCTAATGGGGCCTCCTGCTGCTTAACAGTAGATGGTTAACAGTAGATCAGTTCTTTTCTATCCACAACACACATTCTTTGCCATGCTTCATGTGCATACAGTGAGATGGAATGGTACAGCACTGGAAGCAACAGGTCAGAACTGGATGGAGTGGACTTATATCTATGTATCATTGAAGCCAAACCTGGAAAGAATTGGCTGCTCAGCCCAACTGTATTAATTCCTCAGGTTTTATCACTTAATATTGTTACTCCTAGTGCAGGAGACCACAGATGGTCCACAAGTTTTATCTAGGTGGTCCACAGCATGCCTGTAGACATACAATTTAAAAACATGCGGCATCTACATAGTGCTTTAAAATGGCTACAACATACAGAAAAAATATTGTGGTCCATCAAGGTCCTCAGCAATTTTCAAGTGCTCCATGGGGCAAAGAGTTTGAGGACCAGTGTCCTGATGTTTTACCTGCTTCCAAAGGGACCTAATATCCCCATCAATAGTGTGGATGTCCAGTCACATTTTGTAGCTAGAGAAAGGTTGCAGAACATCACCACCTGTATCTCCACCCAAAGAAACAGGAGGTTGAATTTCTCGTGCCTAGAGACTGTGATATTGCTTCTACTATATTATGCATTGTCCTGTAATTGCTGACAACGAGAACAGGCAGGTACTTGTGAATATAATTACCATTTGATAACAGGGATTATATTTTGCCCTTTATCTACAGTTTCTCTCTAGAGCAAACCAGGTTGGATGAGTAGTATTCATTTGGAATGAATTTATCAGTGTTTTGCCCCGACACCAATTGTTCCCTCTGTAGCTTCTTTTCATTTTAAACGGAACAATGATTCACATTAGAAGTAGCAATAATTCCATCGCTACACCCTGGAGATTAAAGGGACGTGATTCGTGTTGCAGTCAGAGAACACGAGGTACACTTTGCTAATTGCCGATTACCAAAACAGTGCAGGCATGATCCGTAAACGGGAAACAGCATTAGCATCAATACTACATCAATAGAGAAAATGAAACGGCAAACAGAGCTACAGCTGTAGCTGATGAGCCCCACTGTGACATTCATTATTTATTGCAGCAATGAGAGTTTGATTTTATTAAAATAGCTCAGTCGGCTCCTTTGCTTTTCTGGTATACTATATATATATATATATATATATATATATATATATATATATATCTGGGGGGAAAGGAAAGGAGCAAAATACACAGGGAATGCACCCACCATGCACAAAAACACACCATAACAAGGCTATTCCTTGAATAGTCCAGGCCTGCATCTCCTTAAGCATGTTGGCTTAATGTCATGAGAAACAATGGAGTGCACCTCCAGGGGTTAAGTCAAATCATTGCATTGGCAGCACCAAAGTGACCTCCTCGGGGCACATGCCTGGACAGTGTGTATGGAGGTCCTGGCTGCCCAGACAACAAGTCTCTTGTTGTCAAGGAAAACAAGGAAAATCAGAGCAATACATTGGCTCTGCCCCACTTAATCACAAGATGTGGCGGGTGCACGCTATTTGATGGCAATCCCCATCAACTTTGAGTTGTTGCAAAGATACTTGAATCAGGAAACTCTACCCAAAAG